GTGGCGCTGTAGCTCAAGTGGTAGAGCACTTGCCTTGAGCTGAAGAGCTGAGGGACAGCACCCAGGCCCAGAGTTCAAGCCCCACGACCAACAAAAAAAAAAAAAAAGTAAAAACAGAGCTGGGAATGTGGCTTAGTGGTAGAGTGCTTGCCTATCATGCGTAAAGCCCCACGTTCGATTCCTCAGTAACATATAAATAGAAAAGCAGAAAGTGATACTGTGGCTGAAGTAGTAGAGTGCTACTCTTGAGCCAAAAAAGTTCGGGGACAGTGCCCAGGCCCTGAGTTCAAGCCCCAGGACTGGCATTAATTAATTTAAAAAAACAGAATCCTACCGCAGTGTTACACACATAAAATCCCAGAGTCAGGAGGCCAGCTTGGGCTACACTCTTGTCACCACCACCCCCAAAAATATAAAATCAAGGGACATGAACCATCCCCTTTTAAAAAATGATTGAATATAATTTTATTGTTATTGTTACTGTGTTGTACAGAGGGATCACAATTCCATGAGTCGGATAATGAGTACAAATCTTTTTAATGTTACCCCTTCCTTCGCTTTCCCATTTCCCCGTCATCCCTGCCCACAAGCTGCATAGTTCATTTTTTACATAGTGTATATTGAATACTATGTCTGTATTTGTTCATCCTTCCTCCCTCCATTTCTGTGCTCCCCTTTTGCCACCGTCCCCCCCTCCCAAATAACAACAAAAATATGGTCCCATTTCCTGGAATTCATTGTGATAAATAGTATTTTAGATGCTCAGAGGAGTTATGAACTTTTGGGTTCCTCTCTGAAGAGTATGGTCCTCTATCTTAGAGTCCTAATATGCACAGACTGTATCTGTAACTACTAGGCAGAAAATAATCGGGACAGAGCCCTGTGTGAGGGGCGTGAATCTCACCTGCACGTCCACGGTCACGTTCAGGTTTTTGCCGGCCCTTGCCTCCTCCTTGGCTTTCTTCTGCTCCTCCTGTAGCCGCTGCTCAGCCAGACGCTGCTGCTCCTCCTGTGATCCCCACAGGCAAAAGGGTGTTGTGTGTATGCGGCCTCCCCTCCCCTGACCTCACTGCAGCCCGTGCAGCAAGGCAAGCCAGGGAAGCCCTGCTCCCGTGGGACCAGGCCTCTCAATCCCGCAGCTCACACAGGCCACATGGGGGAGCCCCCTACCTTCTTTTTCTCCTCCAGTTCCTTCTGCAGCCGCTCCTTCTGTAGCCGCATGGCCTTCTCCTTCTCCCTAAAGATCAAGCAAGAGCTTGTTAAGGTGGAAGAGAGTCTAGGCCCTGGGATCTGTGCGTACCCTTTAGAGAGTGAGATAGCAAATGGGACACTGGCTTAGAGAACAGCTGCACCTTCAACCCCACACTGGGAATATGCACTCCTGAAAGCATCAGGAGCACAAGTGGAGCCAGCGCCCACTGCAGTGGCAAGCAGACTTGAGGCTACAGGCCTTCTCTTCTGTGATACCTGTCCCCCATCACTGTCACAAGAACTAAATGAGATGATCTGCACTACTTCTAGTCCTCTAGTCATCTCCACCCGTGGGGCAGGCCCCCAATACTGTCCTGTGCCACCCAATTCTGAAACAGAGTACTTGCCACTTCTCCCATCTCTCCTTCCCAGACACTGGGAATGCTGACTCTGTCCCCAGAGGACCAGGGACACCAGTTAGCACCAGAAGACAGGTCTGATGGCCTCCCTGGCCCTCTTGCCTCACTTATTCATGAACCCTGTACCACCACAAGGCTGGAGGTCCCCAGGAGGTGGGGGCTGCAGATCATAGCTGCTGGACCTGCATATCTGCACATATCGACGGTACAGTACTCATAGATCTCCTGGCACACAGTAAGTTGGGATTATCCTCTAGATATCCCCAGGGCTCAGCACAACCAGGCACAGGAGGGGCCCTGGATAAGCAGTAATAAAACTAAATGTGATACCTGTGGCTCATGTCTGTAATCCTGAGCTACTCAGGAGGCTGAGAGCTTGAGGATCCAGTCTGGGCAGGAAAAATCCATGAGACTCTTACCCCAATTAATTACCAAAACCAAAACCAAAAACAGGAGTGGAGCTGTGGCTCAGGTGGTAGAGCACTAGCCTTGAGCAACAGAGCTCAGGGATAGCACCCAAGCCCCAGTACTAGTACAAAAAACAAAAAAAAATGCAATTTCTGTCTTTTGAACAGAAACACACACCACTGCTTCTGCAGAACCAGAAGAATGTAGGGCTCATTAGACCCCTGGTTCCCAACAGGGCCAGGCTGGTAATGGGGGCAACTCAGGAATAACCCGAGTCATCGTCATCACCAACATGAGGCTAGCTGATCCTAAGATTCCCCCCATCCTACTAGGACACTTGAGGAAAGGATTCCGGGTGAAGGCAGAACACAATGACCCAACCTTATGCTTCTTGACTCTCCCAGAGCCAATGTGCACCTAATCCAGTGGTTTAAAGCTGCAGACATCTGGCTTTGAAACCAAGGGAAAAGCTACAGAGTGAAGTGGGGAACCAAAAAGAGGTGAGGACCACATTTCCGGTCAACCTCTCACGAAGGCTTCCTTACTTCTCGGCCTGGAGCCGCTCTTGCTCCAGTCGCCGTCGCTCCTGCTCAGCCTGCTGCCGTTCTTGCTCCCGCTGCTCCGCCAGCCGCCTGGCCTCAGTGGCCTTGCGCAGCCGCTCCTGTTCCTCCTCCTCCTTCTTCTTCTTCTGCAGCAGCTCTTGGTGGCGCCGCTCCTCCTCCTCCTGAGACCAGGATGCAGGGAGAGGTGAGGGTGCTGGGGCTAGGCCTGGGCCCACAGGGCGGGGAAGAGGCCGGCTGGAGGGGTCAGGGCCCACTCCTCTTCCAGGGGCTGCCACCAGTACAACAATAGAGGCTGCGCCACAGGACCTCCCAGCAAGACCCTGCAAAACCCTGCAAGGATTGCCCCAGCCAGCCTGAAAGGCATCTGGCAACAGCAGCTGCAGATACAACAAGGGAAGCTCAGCACCATGCAGCCAGACTCAAGAGCTATATGAAGCTGGGCAGTAGTGGCTCACACCTATAATCCTAGCTACTCAGCAGGCTGAGATCTGAGGATTACTGTTCAAAGCCAGCCCAGGCAGGAAAGTCCATGAGACTATTATCTCCAATTAACCCCTCAAAAGCCATAAGTGAAACTGGGGCTCAAGTTGGAGACCACCAAGCCTTGAGCAAAAAAATGCTTAGGGACCACACCCAGACACTGAGTTCAAGCCCCAATACTGGCACCAAAAAAAAGAACTGGGACATTGGGTGACTTGCTTGACTCCTGCAGCCTTTGATTTTTCTCCTCCATAGGAGCAGCAGTAGTACTTACGCCTCATGAAGTCGCTGAGTTAAGTCAAAATGATGCCTAATTTGGTATGCAATAAATCCTAATAGTAATAGAACTTTTCAGTGATGACCTTTTGTTTACCATTTGGTTTCTAACAATTCCTAGAAAGAGGCAGGTTGCTACTCTTCCAATGTAATATTTGAGATGGATTTTGGCAGCAACCATGTGCAGAACATCCTAAGCACTACATCTATTAATGCACACATTCATTAACTCACCTAACCCTCAGGAAAACACCATTGCTACTTGTAGTAACAGAAGCACAGAAAGGTCAAGTAGCCTGCCCAAGGTCATGCAGCAATACATGGCATTGCGGAGATGGGAATATGGCTCCTAGAGAAGGTAAGGAGCGGGTGGCAGTCACCACCTATCTCCAAGGCACTGGGTGCACCTCCTCTGGGCTTGAAGATCTGCCAGGCTCAATCCCACAAGGTGGAGTAAACCTGGCAGCAATGAGACAGTGCCTGTTCTGTGCACACAAACCTGTTGGAGCCACTTGAGCCTGCGTGCCTCCTCCTCCTGCTTCCTGCGGGCCTCCACCTCTTCCATCTTCTTGGCTGCAGCCTTCTTCTTGGCCTTCTCCTCGGCTAGCCGTTCCTCTTTGGCCTACAGAGCCCACCCACAGGTGCTTACTAGAGCAGCCAGTTTCTCAGCGCTGTACAGCGGGTCCCTGAACTCTGCTTGATGGTCACCCTGTCTCCCTGCTGCTACCCATAGGAAAGGAGCATTGGAAGCCATGCCTGCCCAGGACTACCCATGCACCAAAGGCTCTAGGAAAAACCAGAGGCCAGATACCAAATTCGCAGCTCAGAATGGACCCAAGGGCCCAAGGGACAGATGAGGCCAAACCCATAAACTTTTGGAGGGGTCCAGTCCTACCCTGGAGGCCACTAAGTCTGCGATGTGTGGGCTCAACTATGACCCAGCCCACCTAACAGCTTGGCCACCACCAACCCAGGCTCAAAACCTTCTCCGTCTTCTCATCAAGCTGAGCGAATTTCTGCTCAATCTGCTTCTTCTTCTCCTCCTTCATCTGTTCCACCCGCTCTCGGGCCTGCAGCACCTTGCGGAGGCGCTCTTCCCTCTTCCTGTGGGCACAGGGCAGTCATAAGGAGCCCTGCCAGGGTCAGCGCAGGACATGCTGGGAGCCCGGCCACTTACTGCTTCACTTCCTCCAGCCGCCGCCGCTTGTCCTCCTCCACTTTCTGCCTGCGCAGCTGCTCCGCCACCTCCTTCCGCCGAAGGTTCTCCAGGCGCTGCCGCTCCTTCTCCTGGGAGTTTGGGGGTGAACTGGGTTGTGAGTGAGGACAAACCCGAGCCCCCAGGCTGTCAGCTGTGTGCATCAACCCTCAGCCAAGTGAGCAAAAGCATCTGATTGCTTCTTAAATGCAGAGATGGCTCCAGCATGCCCTCCGTGCCCAGCCAGGCCAGCCCCAAGGCTTCCATTTCTGATCCCAGGACACAAACACTTTCCCAGAGCCATAGTTGCAAATGCCTTCAACTGGGTGCTGCCAAGTTGTGGGTGGCACAAAACTCAATCTCAAAACCAAACATGTGCACTGCAGTTAGTTAAACAGTGCACTTGAAAAGAGAATGGGGACTGAGACTGAGAAGAGACAGAAAGGCAGCTCAGAAAGAAAGTTACAGCTAATGCTTGATTTAAGAACTATCATTTTTAAGTCAGGTGCTAGTGGCTCATGCTTGTCATCTTAGATACTCAGGAGGCTGAGATCTAAAGATAGCACGTCAAAACCAGCCTGGGCAGGAAAGTCTATGAGACTCTTTTCTCCAGTTAGCCACCAAAAAGCCAGAAACTCGGCCTTGAGTGAAAAAGCCAAGGGAGAATTTAGAACTAGAAATACATTAACTGAAAATCTGAGACACAAGCTTTCATTACTTATGCTCTTAGGCTGAATTTTACCAATTTCATAAGAAAATTCAAGGCTTCTGAGTCTCATACAATTCATTTCTCCTCTTCCTCAGTCCTCAAGTGAGCTGGGTCATCCCTGCTTCCCAGAGCCACCCCCAAGATCCAGAGGGTGGGAGGAAGCGACAAGCTGGAGCCCTTCCCTCTCCAGAGGCCTCACCCGACCGCCCGCTCTCTCTGCCAGGCACCAACCCCCCACTTTATACCAGACCCTGCACTCAGTGCCTGACTCAGTCATGCCTGGAGCCACCAAATCTCCACAAGTGTTCGTGAGACTCTCCATTTTGTGACTTAGGACCAGAAGTTAGGAAGAGTGTCCACAATCCCAGGAATCTAGAACCTTCCTCGGTCCCTGGTCTACCAGCTAAGGACTAGCTATACCCACCAGATGTCCTTGCAGAGATCTGAACTGACCAAAGCAGGTATGGGTAATTTCCTGGGCCTGGTAGTCAGGCCCAGAAAATTGGCCAAGGGAAAAAACATACATGACCCTTCCTAGGAGCCTAGTGCACAGCAGGTACCTGGCACAAAAACAGGTACCTAAGGCCACAAAGCTCACTAGTCAGTATATTGGAAGGCATGTGCTATCACCTTGTAAACTAGAGAGGCAAGCTCAAGACCCACTGGCCAGCTGCTGAGAAGCTCCTCCCACATGCCAAGGCCCTCAGCTAGAGGCAGAAGACCTCAGGTGGCAGTGAGTGGCTTCTCAGAACTCCTATGGCAATAAAGAAAGGCACTGTAGCTTGGCAACAGACATAGAGCCAGGACTGTGAGCAACCCACGGCTCTTGCTCTTGGCCAACAGGCTGGATCCGCTCAGCTCGGAGGTGTCTGAGAAGAGAACAGTTTGGGTGATCTTTTTCCAGAGGCCGCTGCCAACAATTCCACTGTAACCAAGAGGGCAGACCCAGTCTCCAGCCTGGGTTCAGTAGCCAGAACTCCCTCCCCATCCCTTCCCATCAAAGTCATTGCTCAAGTATGATCTAATAAATCTCTCAGAGACTCTAAGGACCAACCACAACCTGTCTGTTCTCTTCACAGACCCACAGGCTTCAGTGCTAGGGGAAAGAAATGGCGTGGGATGCACTTCAAACTGTGGCTGTCACACCCCACTGTATCCTTCCCAGAGCAGTGCAATGTCAGGACCAGAGATGGCAGAGGGAGGACACAGGTCCCCAGCATGGATGAACACCTCAAGTGTCTCCCACAGCCTCCTCTCTTTTCCAGTGATGTTAGTGATTATGTAAGGACTATAAGCTATGCAAACAGGGCTACAGAGGAAAACCACTACACACTGCTTGGTTACAGGACAGGACAAGACAAGCTTTACTTACAACAAAGCTGCACTGTGGAGGAAAGGAGACAGCAAAAAGCTGAGAGTTAATGTCAGGCTAGGAGATGGCCCACAGAGCAGACCATGAGCCCAACTGCAGCAGCACATCTGCTCTGGGCCTGCACCTCTAACGTCCATGTCAACCCAACCCTCTCCCCCAACCACTTGCACTACCTAGGCTGTGGGAATGGAGGGAAGCACAGTGGTCTGCTATGCCCACGCTGCTACCTGCCAGCCCAGGGCTCTCTAACATGGCTAAGACTCTGGGTTACAGTCAGAATCCATAAGGCCCTTTCCCAGGGCCAGGCCAGACTTTCCTTCTCCTGGATCTAGGCTCTCAGTAGCCTAATAGAAGACAGAACCTTCAGCCATGGTTCCAGTTCCAGCAAAGCCCAGTAGGGGCAGCCTCTCTCACCTTAGGGTCCACGCGCAGAGGAGTATTGCGCTTAATGAAGGATTTCATGATGCTGCTGCGGGAGGCCGAGGTAGGGGTCATGAGCAACTGGTTCCTCTGTACTGTATGCAGGAAGGTCCGGAGGGGCCGCACCACCTGCCAACAAGGGCAAGCAAGGGTCAGCACTGAGTGGGCACACAGGGCAGAATGCAAGGTAAGGGCAGGAACCTGCTCACCTTGTTGGCTGGACAGGGCGGAGAAGGGGTCTTGGTCCTGGGGGGCTGTAGGTCCTCATCCTCCTGGAAATTCTCCTCATCCAACTCACTCATCGCCTGCTTATAGCTACGTTTCCTTCTGTCCAGACAGGTGACAGCATTACAGGGCAAATCTAGGAACCTTCCCGCAACCCTGCCACACCTCATAAGAGCTCACTCTGTGAGCAAATCTAAGACTCTAGATCAGAAGGGACTGTGCAGATCAAATCATGACGCCTACTCAGAGAAAGGGAAGTGTCCAGTCACACAGCCAGGAGAAAAGAGAGAGTCAGGGTCAACAGCCACATCACCTGATTCCCCACCCAGCTGCTCATCTCAGGCATCATGCTACTGCATTTGCTGAGACAGAACACCAGGCCACCACCCCAGACAACAGGTGACAGAGCTTGGGACCACATGTCCACACACATATGCTTGGGTCATGTTCCTGAGCCCCTCAGAGTCACTGGCTTGCCTCTTCACAGCACAAACCTGATGCTCTGGGGTGGCTCCCTGTGTCCATCTGCTGGGTCAGTCTTGGACTCTGGAAGAGAGCAATTTCAACAAGATTGGTGCATGATGCTGACGAGGGTAAGGGGTGCATGAAGGGCTCAAGGAAGGTGCCCACTGGTAGCGGCAGTGACCAGAGCAGGGGCAAGACTCCCTTTCCTGATAGCCTCTAGGTGGCCTGGGGCAGAAGTTTAACACCAACTGGCCTTGAGGAATCTAAATTCAACCAAAGCCCAAATCATATCTCCAGGACAAAGCCCTCACCACACCCAGACATCTATGGCAGGAATGGCAGAGCAGTCCCATTAAAACCCTCACCATGCCCCACTCTCTGACACAAAGAGCAGTGTTTAGCACAGCTGCTACACGCACACGGCCCGGCCTTCAGCGGGTGCCAGCAGGACAGGAGGGGAGGCCTCCTACACAGGGCCACCATGAGGGACAACCAGTATGGTTGGTTTCACCATCACTTAAGAAAGCACCTTTGAGAGAGTTAGGGAAGGGTAGACACTGGATGAAAGGAAATGTGCCTGACTCATGTCATCGTAATCCCTTTGTATATCATCTATCAAACAATAAAGTAATTTTTTTTTTGCCAGTCCTGGGGCTTGAACTCAGGGCCTGGGCACTGTCCCTGAGCTTCTTTTGCTCAGGCTACCACTCTACCACTTGAACCACAGCACCACTTCTGGCTTTTTCTGTGTATGTGGTACTGAGGAATCGAAACCAGGGCTTCATGCATGCTAGGCAAGCACTCTACCACTAAGCCACATTCCCAGCTGATATTTTTAAAAAAGAAGGAAAGCACCTTTTATTCCAAACAGTCCTTGCAGCACCCCTGGGGACTGTGGGGCTAGCATGACTACTATCCACCTTTTTTTGGTCAATTGTGGGGCTTGAACTCTGGGTCTGGGTGCTGTCCCTCAGCTCTTCAGCTCAAGGTTAGCGCTCTGCCATTTGAGCCATAGCACCACTACCAGCCTTTTCTGCTTATGTGGTGCTGAGGAATTGAACCCAGAGCCTCATGCATGCAAGGCAAGCACTCTACCACTGAGCCACCTTCCCACCCCCTCACTTACCCCTTTGTAGAAGATTTTAAAACCAGTAGTCAACAATCTCAGAGCTCAAGCCTATAATCCCAGCTATGCAGGAGGCTGAGATTTTGAGGATCTCCATTTGAAGTCAGCCCAGGCAAAAAAGCCTGAGAGAGTCTTACTTCCAATTAACCAGCAAGAAGCCAGAAGTGGAAGTATGGCTTAAGTGGTAAAACACCAGACTTGGGCAAAAAAGGCAAGTACAAACATAAGGGCCTGAGTTCAAGCCACAGAACCAGCTCCCATACACACAAAAACAAAACACCCACATAGTATTTTCCCACAAGAGGGAAAAAAAGTGCCCTGCCGGGGAGACTCCAAGACTCTCCCAGTACCCTGGAAGCCAGGCAGATCCAGACCCGCTCTCAGAGCCCTCTGTCCTCGTTAGTCAAGAAAAGATAGAAGTCAGAAGCACACCAGAAGACCAGGTGTGGTGATAAAGCTTGGAATCCCAGCTACTCAGCAGGTGAAAGTAGGAAGACTATCTTAAAAGCAAACTAAAGCAAATTAAAATCAAAATTTTGAAAAAAAAAAAGTTTAAAAAAACCAAGCCAGTGGAAGAGACAAAGCTGGAGGCCATGTAAGAGTTCAGACCCCCAACCTACAGCTCTTCCTGATTTAACCTAGGTTTCTTTCTGATTTAACCAGGGCTTGAGGCATGGCACTGGTACCTTTATATTCATAACCTAATTCCGGTCCTGCCCCCTGCTTCCTGGTCCAGCCAGCCACCATTATTCACACAAAGCACCCAGCAGCAACCAAAAGACCTGTTACCTAAAAAAAGGGGCTTCTTGTCTCTAGAAACAGGGCCAGGCTGAGGCCACCACAGCCCACTGCAGCTCTGTGTGTACTCACCCTGCTGCTGTTGAGGGGATGCTTCTTGTCTATATGCCCCAGGCTTCAGTCTGGGTGTACTAAAGGTACACAACGTGCTCCCATCATTCTTAGAGACCTGCAGGGAGAAGTGAGGCTTGAGGACATTGTACCTGCAATCTAGGACTCAGGACAGCCATGTTGTAGAGCTTGAGCCCTGGAGGCTTCAAGGCCTTCCCTCCCTGGCCACCTTACCTCTGTCTCCGCTGCCTCTCTGGACTCAGCCTCCTTGCTGGGATCCTGCTCTGGACTGAAAGCAGAACAAAGGCTCTGTGAGAGCTGCCCAGGGAATTGAAGCTCTCCTGACTCTCTGGGATGGGGTGAGTGTGGGATGATCTAACCTGGACCACAAACCCTAGCCCCCTCGGATGCAAGGACACGGCCAATAAACAGTAGCTTCTTGAGCAGAGGAAGTTTCTGAATTCTACTTCATCTTATCCTATCAGCACTGATTCAGGCAAGAACCTCTATATTCTGGATCATAAATGTCCTCCAAAGGCCTAGGAGTTAAAGACTTCTTTCCCAATATAGTGTTAGTGGGAGATAGTGGAAACTTTTGGGGTGGACCCTAGTGAGTGGCCTTCAGGTATGGTCTCTACCACCACAGGCCTATTTGGACATGGACTGAAATCTCCAAAACTTTTCTCCTTATGAGTTAATGTATCTCAGGTTATTCGTTACAGTAATGGAGAGCTTTGCTTCTAGCTCTGCCTCAATCTCCTGGGCCCAGATGAACCCCATCTCTTGTGAGGCTGCTCACTACACACCAGGGACTGGCCAAGCCAGCACTGTACTTAGTAATCCCATCTTCCTATCTCAAACACTGACTTCTGCCCCAGAGCAAGGAGGAAAGGGGCTAGTTTTAATGATGACAAGACATGGCCTCAGTATCTTGGCCCCTAGAAGTAACCCTGGATGTAACCCTAGAGTGGACAGCATTCCCTGACACCCCCATCCTGACTGAAGTTGGCTTCCCATGGCTGCTCAGCTACATTTACAACCCATGGAGTCTACACTCAAGAGATCAAGGCTAGCCAGGGCTGACAAGTGCTACACAGAGACCCGATACCCACATTGCTCACTGCCTAGTTTGATAGGGGACCGGGGGGGGGGGGGGGGGGGGGGAAGCAGCGTAGACTAAAAGGAAAGGACTGCAGTAGGGCCATGGGCAGCCCAGGCTGAAGAAGGCAGGTTCAGCCCCAGGAAATGCCTCTGCCACAGTCTTCACTTGACCCTTCAGTTCAAGTGTGTCCTGCTCAGTATAGGATTATCCCTAAGCCCTGGAACTCAACTCACCCAGCTTTCTGAGGTACCTCAACATTCAGGAGCCTCTCCAAGTAGCTGTGACCTGAGGAAACACAAAGGAACAAAAGGTGTCATCAGAAACAACCAAGTACCACACCAAAGGTCTACAGCATCCGCCTCTAACAGGGGTGAGGCAACCGCTCCTGTCACAGACTGAGCCCCAGTCGAGGCCTGGGCCTCACACTTGTATTCATCCTTGCACCCTCAGCAGAACTGTTGGCTTCATGTCTCCTGACAACACACTCATCCAAGGGCACATCTCTGTTCTTTCACTGGACTATGAGTTTCTTAGGGAAAAGGACAATGTCACCAGAGCTGTGGGCCCAGCTCCCAGCCTGAGACCAATACAAGACAACTACTTACTATGTGCTGGGCTCTGACACAGGCTTTGGGACTCAATGGTAAACCAACAGAAATACTGCCAAAAAATCCCAGAAAGGACACTTGTGGTATGTGCAATGACAGAAAAGAGCAAAGGATTCTAGCCCTAACTGGCCTGGATGATGGGATACAAAGATGAAGGATGGGAAGATGTTCAGGCCAGTTGTGTGCAAAGAGTATTCTCTGACTTCTACAAATTTCCAAGAGCATTTCACAGAATCCCTGTTTTCATTATAATCCTAAAGTATTACTTCCCCTTTGCCCTGAATTAATGAAGCCAAGGGGAAAGGAGAAAATGAAGCTCAACACTAATCAAGGGTGTCCTATCATACACTCAGGAATGGCTCTGAAGAGGTATCAGTTGTATTACATCTGTACACCAGTTGTGTCTCTGTAATACTCTGCATAACAAAGGTGGACATATGCAAGATGCCCATTTGCTTCAAACCCAAGTCTCTATGAAAAGTGCCCAGATTTGAGTTACTGGCTGAACTAGTTCTGTCCTTTCTTTTTTTTTTTTCCTGATGGTTTTTATTGGAGATAAGAGTTTCACGGACTTACCTGCCCCGGCTGGGTTTGAACCATGATCCTCAGATCATGATCCTCAGATCTCAGCCTCCTGAGATTACAGGAATGAGTCACCGGTACCAGCCCTGACATTTTTTTTTTTTGGGGTCCGGTCGTGGGGCCTGAACTCTGGGCCTGGGCGCTGTCCCTCAGCTCTTCAGCTCAAGGCTAGTGCTCTACCACTTGAGCCACAGCGCCACTTCTGGCTTTCTTTTTCTTTCTTTCTTTTTTTTTGCTTATATGGTGCTGAGGAATCGATTCCAGAGCCTCAGCATCCAAGGCAAGCGCTCTACCACTGAGCCACCTGCCCAGCCCAGCCCTGACATTTATAAAGCACTGTTTCTAACTGAAAGAACAGCTGGCAATCTGTGGTGGTTCAATGTTAGATATTCAGAGAAGCCATTTTCTTAAGATTGAATGAAGTCTGTTAAACAACATACTCATTGACAATAAACTCAGCCAAAGAAAGGCCAAAAGTAGAACTTTGAAAAACACAGAAGCACCACAGCTTTTTTTATACCTAAAGATATCCCTGACAGATCAGAAAACAAGTGTTTATTTTAATTTCCTTTATTTCAATAAATTGTATTTTAAATGTTCAGAGAAGTTACACCTTTGGGTTCCTCCCCTAAGAGTATCCTCCTTTAGTCTGAATGTGTGTGAATGCCTAGAGACCTGTATAAGTTATCATGTCCAGTTATATTTTAGATCTAGCTCCACATATGAGAGGAAATATGCCTCATTTGTCTTTCTGCGCTTGGCTTACCTCACTTAGCATGATTTGTTCTAGGTCCATCCATTTCCCTGCAAATGACATAACCTTATTTTTTCTAGCAGATGAGTAAAATTCCATTGTCTATCTATGTCACATTTTATGGCACCTGGGCCATTTCCATAACTTGGCTAATAGTGCAGCAATGCAAATGTGCTTTTTAAAAATATTATCTAGGGGGCTGGGAAGGTGGCTTAGTGGTAGAGTGCTTGCCTTGTATGCATGAGGCTCTGGGTTTGATTCTTCAGCACCACATAAGCAGAAAAGCTGGAAGTGGCGCTGTGGCTCAAGTGGTAGAGCACTTCAAAAGCTCAGGGACAGCACCCAGGCTCAACTGACAAAAAAATGAATAAAAAAAATAAAAATATTATCTAATAATGTGTGGACATTTGGAAGATGTATGTAACTCAGCAAAACATAGCTTCCAAATGACCAATGTATGAAGTTCTAAAACTACACAGTTAAATAACCCTTTCAAAGGGTGTGATAGACCAATGAGCTGTCTCATTGTATTGGACGTAATAAAAATATGTACAACTATTTGAAAAAGCTCATTTCAACTACACTAGTGTATGAGGCCAGATTTTTCCAGATACTTTAACCCAAACCACTTTAATACAATAGATCAGATGCAGATGCTGGCTGTCTTTGGCTAAGCCTCACCATAAAGAGATATGTAAACTGTCCAATGAAGCCAGTCTCCTCTCTGCATTTTTCTTTTGGAAAAGATATTTTCACTTAATTAAAAAAAAATCTCACTTGACACCAGTGGTTCACGCCTATAAGTCTAGCTACTCAGGAGGCTGAGATCTGAGGATCCTGGATCAAAGCCAGACCAAGCAGGAAAGTCTGTGAGACTCTTTTTTTTTTTTGTCAGTCGTGGGGCTTGAACTCTGGGCTTGGGCATTGTCCCTGTGCTCTTCAGCTCAAGGCAAGCGCTCTACCGCTTGAGCCACAGCGCCACTTCTGGTTTTCTAGTGGTTTATTGGAGATAAGAGTCTCACGTGGACTTTCCTGCCCGATCTTAGCCTCCTGAGTAGCTAGGATTACAGGTGTGAGCCACCGGCACCTGGCTTGTGAGACTCTTATCTACAATAAACCACTAGAAAACCGGAAGTGACTTGCTCAAGCAGTAGTGCTCTCACCTTGAGCTGAAGAGCTGAAGGACAGCGCCCAGCCCAGAGTTCAAACCCCACGACCGACCAAAAAAAAAAAAAAATCTCATGTTAAATCATGTTAAGTGAGGTAAGCCAAGATCAGAGAAACAAATGGTGCATGTTCTCTCTGATATGCGGAAAACAGATCTAAAATGCGGTGGGATGGTAAGTTACACAGGATTCTAGATACTCACATACAGTGAGACCAAAAGAGAATAGTCTTAGGAGAGAATCACAAAGTTATAATGCCTAAGCACCTCTTCACATTTATATAAAATAACATGTATACTAAAATGAACTCCTAAGATATGGAAACAAAAGATTTTTTAAATTATTTTTTCTCTTTCTGATGATTCTGTATTCTTTATATACAGTGTATTTGCATGTATATCTTTGGGAAGGTGGGGGGAGAGCACAGAACTTGAGGAAAAAGATGAAAAAGTGTAACAGCGCTCACTGGACACTGATAAAACTGAACTATACAACTGGTAAGTGGAGAAGGAAGGAGGGAAAGGGACAGATACGGGAACAGAAGACACGGTAAGAAAGGAAATGTACTCATTACCTGATTCATATAAATATAACCTCTCTGTATAACACCTCTATAATAACAATAAAGTAATTTTTTAAAAAATCTTATGTTAGCTAAGCACTGGTGGCTCACACCTGTAATCCTAGCTACTCAGGAGGCTGAGATCTAAGGATCTAAGTTCAAAGCCAGCCAGGGCAGGAAAGTCTGTGAGACTCTTATCTCCAATAAACCACTCAGAAAACCATAAGTGGCACTGGTAGCTCAAGTGGTAGAGCACTAGCCTTGAGCTGAGGAGCTGAAGGACAGCACCCAGGCCCAGAGTTTAAGCCCCACAACCAACAACAAAACAAAACAAAATCTTAGATCAGCCAGTATAATCCTAGCTACTCAGCAGGCTGAGATCTGAGGATCGGAAGTTCAAAGCCAACCCAGGTAGAAAAGTCCATGAAATTCTTATCTCCAAACAACCACCAGAAAACCAGAAGTGGTGCTGTGGCTCAAGTGGTAGAGCACTAGCCTTGAGCTGAAGAGCCAAGGGACAGCTCCCGGAGTTCAAGCCCCACAACCAAAAAAAAAAAAAACCCAAAAAACAAAAAAGTTATGTTAACAGATAAGAGGCATGATATCTTGATTTTTTTTTTAAATAACAAGATAAGAGGCATGATATCTTGATTTTTTTTTTAAATAACAAGATACTTTTTTGTGGTGGGGGCATTGCTGGGATTAAACCCAACCAAGCAAGTGCCCTGTCACTTAACCTATTCTGACAGGTTTTTATTTTGTGTTTATGATAGAGTATGCTACTTTTGCCAGAGCTGGTCTCTAACTCACAATCTTCTTGCCTCCATCACCCAAGTAGCTTAGATTATAGGAATACACAATGACACCTGGCTCTTAGGTAATATTTTAAATCTTTAATATTAAGTATTAAACTATAAAATAAAATATTATGTCAGAAGCCAGTGGCTCACACCTGTAATCCTAGCTACTCAGGAGGCTGAGACCTGAGGATCTTGGTTCAAAGCCCAGGCAAGAAGGTCCATGAGATTCTTATTTCCAAATGAACCACCAAAAAGCCAGAAGTGAAGCCGTGGCTCAAGTGTTAGTGTTAGCCTTGAGCACAAAGGCTGAGAGACAATGCCCAGGCCCTGAGTTCAAGCCCAAGTCTCACACTTACACACACACACACAAAATTAAGTAGTATTATAAATGGTTAATTCCAGTTTTTATTTCTAAAAGTAACTATCAGGCTAGGGATGTGACTTGGTAATAGAGTGCTTGCCTAGCATACATGAAGCCCTGGGTTCAATTTCTCAGTACCACATACACAGAAAACACTAACCTTGAACAAAAGCAGCTCAGGGACAGTGCCCAGGCCTTGAGTTCAAGCCCCAGGAGTGGCAAAAAAAAAAAAAAATACTATCAAAAAAAGAAGTAACTGCCGGGCGCCGGTGGCTCACGCCTGTAATCCTAGCTACTCAGGAGGCTGAGATCTGAGAATCGCGGTTCAAAGCCAGCCCGGGCAGGAAAGACCGTGAGACTCCTATCTCCAATAAACCACTAGAAAACCAGAAGTGGCGCTGTAGCTCAAGTGGTAGAGCGCTCTCCTTGAGCTGAAGAGCTGAGGGACAGCGCCCAGGCCCAGAGTTCAAGCCCCATGACCGACAAAAAGAAAAAAAAAAGTAACTATCAATAGATATAATCTCATAATCAAAAACCTTGAGGCCTTTATCATTTGTAAAACTGGAGACAAGTACTAAGACCAAAACTTGAAAGCCACTGGTCTGGAAAGAAGGGAAAGCACCTGCCAAGCCCATGGGTAGGAAAAATGCTGATGGGATGAAGAAAAGGGACAACTCAGCATAGACCAGGGGGATATGACCAGAGCTGGGGCTGACAGGAAGCCAAGGTGAGGCCAGGTAGCACCCAGGAAAAAGAGAAGACAGGCAAGATGTTGGAATGGCCAACTGGCAAGACACAGAGGGAACCAAGCAAGAAGCAAGGCATCGGAAGCAGGGGCCTCTTCTTTCTGGGGTACAACAGCCAGGCTGGGAGACAGCGAGGGAGCAGCTACAGAGTGATCCTTGCAGTTACAGGAGGAAACTGTTCCCACTGGAGCCAGAAGATATGGCTTCCCTCATCTCTCCAGATCCATACTCCCTGATGGGTGAAAAGATGCTCATGTGACCACCCAACCTTCACCCATGCAAGAACTTCTTGGAATGATAAATGCCCACTTTATGCCATCCTGTGCCTCCTAGCAGATCTGATGGCAGGGAGGTCACTCTCCCTGGCAAGAGGACTAAAGAGCTGTTTGTCAATACAGAAGTGGACAAGGAGGCCCAATGAGGAACTTGGCTGGTATAGAACCCTCTAGAAATCCTGCAGCAGGGACCACTATTCCTTGCTTATCCATTCCTGTGAACTGCTTCCAGGCAGCCCCTCCCCAGGACAGAGGGCAGGGGCTTCACGCCCCCTCCCTGCAGCTCTACCCTCTAGGGCTCCACACTGGCTTCCAGAGGTCCCTGTGCCCTGCCACTCCTGCCAGTCTCCATTCCCTGCCTGTCCTTCCCACTCCATTCCTGCAGATTCTTAAGTCAAAGTTTGCTTCCACAGGAACCCAAGCCCCACCCCAGAGCCTGGTGTCAGAAGGCACCCAGAAAGCTTATCTTCCTACTTGCTGGTCCTTGCTCTGGGGCAACCTGGCCACTCTCCATTGAGCTCCAGCCACACAATCTTTTTAAGGTTGTTGTGTTTAAACCAAATTTCCCATACACAAGCACTAAGGTCTCTCTCCACCTTCAAGCCACACACCATCACCATTTCATAGATGGGGCAGTAAGATAAGTGAAGGGGTACACCAAAAGCCACCCAGGGGCTTGGTGACTCCAGATCCTGGACTCTGCTTTCTTGTCATCCTCTTATGTCCCTCTCAAGTCACGAAATGAACTAGAATCAGACAGACTTGTTCATGCACCAGTCAGCTCAGAGACCCCCTCACATACAGAAAGAGACTGAACAGGAACAAGGGCTTAAAACCTGCCAGGTTAAGCCGGGCACTGGTGGCTCACGCCTGTAATCCTAGCTACTCAGGAGGCTGAGATCTTAGGATCGTGGTTCAAAGCCAGCCCGGGCAGGAAAGTCCGTGAAACTCTTATCTCCAATAAACCACCAGAAAACCAGAAGTGGCACTGAAGCCTCAAGTGGTAGACTGCTAGCGAGTTCAAGCCCCACGACCAACAAAAACAAAAAAACTGCCAGGTTAGAGCCATCTTCCCAACTGTCAGGTTCAATGGCCTCCTTATGCCTCAGTGTCCTTCTCCGTTCAAGTGCAAAAATGCTGACAAGCCATGGTGGTGATGCAGACAAATTACATAGGCTTAAGCCTTGAAGTGTCAGCCAAATCCAGCTGCTAGTGACTATACCCTAGTGTAAACCCTGGCCCATCCTTTCCATCAGTCCTACTGCTAGGTCCATTCTCTGGCTTAGACCCTGCAACTAGCTCCTACCCAGTCTCCCTGCCTACTCTCCTCACTTCCTCTTGGCCATGTGTGTGTGCGCGCGTGTGCGTGTGTGTGTGTGGAGAGAGAGAGTGAGAGAGAGAGCTATTAGTACTAAGGCTTGAACTTGAACTCAGGGCCTTAAGCTATTTTGTTCAAAGCTGACAAATCTTTTTAACTGGAGATAAGAGTCTCACAGACCATCTTACCTGGGCTGGCTTTGAACTGCAATCCTGAGATCTCTGCCTCCTGAGTAACTAGGATTACAGGCATCCTTCCAAACCCTCCCAGCTCAGTCTCACCCCATCATGTAGCCAGCCCTGACCCCCAGAGCTGTCACTTCTCTGTGATTCATAAACTCCTGTTGCCACTAGGATATCAACTCAACATCTGGAGTTGAGATCTGAATAACCAAACCAGTTAATATTACAGTGCCCTTCCTATACCAGGAGCCATCCTAGACACTCTATCTGGACCAATCAAAGAAAAGCTCCCAACATTCTCATGAGGTGACACCTAGCCAAGTTCACAGATAAAGCTCTGAGGCCTATGAAGGTATTTCCATAACCCATTCAAGGTTGCAGAGTTGGGTAGATGATGGTCAAGCTGCACTCAAAACCAGGCCATTAGTCTCTAGAGTAACTTGATTCTCCCCTCTTCTCCTCTCTGCAGATATGCAAGGCACCTGCTCCAACAGTAAGCCTGCTGAAATGAAAACTCACATCTCCAGACCAAACATGGTTTCTTTCATAGGAGGCAGCACACACACACATGGTGAATTTAAGTCAGGCTCTACAGAACTGGGGAGGGGGGGAATCCTCTGACTCTAGGGAAAAGGCTCAGGTTCAAGCTTTAGTGTAGCCATGTACAATAGGGACACTGGGGCCAACCTCAGTTCCCTCTATAAAAACAAGGATGAACTAGATCTCTACTATCCAATATGGCAGCCACTAGCTACAGGTGGCCATTTGTATCTAAACTGAGTAAAATGTGGTGACACTTAAAAATTTACCTCCTTAGTAAACTATTCCTGCAATCCCAGCACCCAGGAGACAGAAGGAAGAGTCTGAAGCTGGTCTGGGCTACACAGCAAAGACTCTAATCTCTAAAGTCCAGGGATACAACTCACTGGTAGAGTACTTGCCTACTCTGTGCAAAGCCTTGAGTTCAATCTGCAGTACCACCAAAAACATAAGGTATAAACAAATAACCTCAATTCCTCAACCAAATTAAGAGTTCAATGACCAGCCATGGCTAGCTAGGTCTACACATCACACAGAAAAGCAAAAATATAGAAAATTTACATCAGGGGCTGGAAAGGTGGCTCAGTGGTAGAGAGCTTGCCTTTCATGCATGAGGCCCTGGGTTTGATTCCTCAGCACCACATAAGCAAAAAGAAAAAAGCCAGAAGTGACACTGTGGCTCAAGTGGTAGAGCACTAGCCTTGAGCTGAAGAGCTCAGGGACAGCGCCCAGGCCCAGAGTTCAGGCCCCACGACCGGACCCTCTCCCTCTGCACCCCCCCAAAAAAAGGAAATTTACATCACCACAGACAGGTCTATAGAAAGTCCCTTAAAAACCCTCTAGCTGAGCCTGGCACTCAGGACCACTCCCCAACCCAGGATACCCCCCACTCACAGATGATGCGGGCAGAAGCAGCTGGCTCTTTGGTGGCCTTCTTGGAAACCCTTCTGCTTGATCTGCGGCTGGTACCATCCTGTTTGGTCACAAGGGAGTACTTGTGGGCCAGGGAGTACTGTTGGGCCAGTGAGACTTGGGGCCCTGAAGGAATCAGGCTGTGCCGCATTGACCGAGTATGCCTACGGGAGCCGTTGGTTTTGGAGTAGTTATCTGGCAGGATGGGGACCAGCACTCGCTCTTGCCATGGATAATATGAAGAGTCAGTTGAGTCCCGGGAAGCTTGAGCAATCTTAAGCTTAGAGGCAGATCGCCCTGTTCCAGCCCCTCCATTCTTAGGGTCCTGGGGGGTAGTCATCAGGGAGCTCACTGTGACAGACTCCAGTCTCCCAGCCTCTGATTTCTTGGGTGTTGGTTCTTCATCTGAAATCAAGACGTCCTGAGAAGCTGGAGGTGGGGTGGGGTTCACAGCTTCTGACAGAGTCAGGGCAGCTGTGAGCTCAGTGAGACGCCTCTCTGCATTCTGGCGGTCACTGATGCCTATCTTCACCGTAACCTTCTTGGTCAGTTCTATGGGAGACCCAGAGGTGGGCAAAGGAGCAGCCGATGGCACAGAAGCTGCTGCAGCTGCGGCAGCCGCCCTGGTTATCCGCCGCAGCACCGGGGAGCCGTTCTCTGCCACTACGGTGGCCAGTTTCTCCACCTTGTCTCTGCTGCGGAGCTGTCGGGTGCTCAGCTGGCTGCTCCGAGTCCTTCTGCGGGATAACCTATTAGGGTGACAGAACGGAGACTGTTGGCAATCCACGAGGGCAAGGAAGCACCCCTGTAAACAAGTTAGGGTATAACAGATGACCCCAGTGGCTACCAGCTTGGATGAAGTATGGATCAAAGGGGTCACAGAACAGCTCTTCCACCTCAAGCCACCAGATCCCAGTCTGAGATGCAGTCTCCCTAACTAGAAATGACACCTAGGCCTCACCAAACAGCTGACATCTAAGTTAATAACTCTGTGCTAAGAACCTTGGCTTCAAACTTCACTTGTGCTCTCGTTTTTGCTACAAGGTAGTCCTGGAAGGTGAACTCCATGATTCCCGCACTTTGGAGGAGGAATGAAGAGAGTCAGAGAAGTCAAAGATTACTCTCCAGGGCGCGCAGCTGCTAAGGCAGAGATAGCAGCTTACACCCAGGCCTGCCCTGACTCTCAGACCCAGGGCTTCGGCTCTAATACTCCAATTACCATCATTCCTATGTCTGACTATACCAAGCTCAGATACAGGAAGATTGGGGATCAAAAGGTAAAAGGACAGCTATTGCTAGGTGCTGGTGGCTCACACCTGTAATCCTAGCTACACAGGAGGCTCAGATCTGAGGCTCACGGTTCAAAGCCAGCCTGGGTAGGAAAGCCCATAATACTCTTATCTCCAATAAACCACCCAGAAAAATGGAAGTGGCGCTGTGGCTGAGGGACAGCGCCCAGGCCCAGAGTTCAAGCCCCATGACTGACCCCCCACCCCCCAAAAAAAGGTCAGCTGCTCTTTTTTCCCCCAGTCTGGAAGTCCTTCCCCTCTCCTCTCCTCCAAGGCTCAGATCAACCCCTACCAATACCACCCCCACCCCCAACACACACCTACACAAGAAGGGGCACACCCACTCTAAACTGGTCTCAGTGAACACTTCATTTCCCTGTAACATCTCATCCCCAGCAAGGGGACCACCCCACTACCATAAGCTGTTGTTTCCCCCACTTTTTTCATGTCGGTCCTGGGGCTTGAACTCAGGGCTTAGGTACTGTCCCTGAGCTTTCTGTGCTCAAGGCTAGTGCTCTACCACTTTAAGACACAGTGTTATTTCAGTCATTTGGTAGTTCATTGTAGATAAGAGTCTCTAGGACTTTCCTGCCTGCCTGGGCTGGCTCTGAACTTGATCCTCAGCTCTCAGTTTCCTGAGTAGCTAGGATTATAGGTGTGAGCCATGGACACCCAGCTCTGCTGCCCCTAGTTACAACTTTAGAAGCAAGCTCACCTATGGAGGCCACCTGCCCCACTCACCCTTCCCCGGCCTCTCCTACCTTTTCCTGATGGGATCCCGATTTTCATTCTGAACATTAGAAACTCGTCTCTTCTTCTGTCGGTTCTTCTGAGAAGGAGTCTTGGGCATCAGCTCGGGCTCTTTGCTGAATTCTCTGTTTTGTAAATACAAAGAGGGTCACACTTGAGGCTTCCTGGAAACTACTGGCCTCCCTTCCCACTAGCCTCCCTTCTTCCCCTGTTCTGGCAGTGACAGGTCAAACGGGCAAGTAGCACCAAAAGAGCTCTCCAAAATGAAGTACAAGCCAGGTACCCAGAGCTTCCTCCTAGAAACATGACAAAGAAGCAAGCTTCCAGAAGAGTTACCACACCCTGCACCTGAGAGGCCCAGCTTAGCCACTATGAGCCAGGCAATGTATTCAAGCTCTTCTTCCCCTACACACCTCCAGCTCATAAGGTGCTCAGGAAGGAGCCCCAACAGGCCGTTTGGCCTGCCAAACAGAAAACTACAGCAACACTGGCAGGACCTGCCACCACCCCCAGTCACCACCACACCAACAGGCCCCTGCCTTAACCTGGTGAACATGCGCTTGGCCTCCTCTTCAATTTCCAGGAGCCACACCATGTCTTTATTGTCCATGTTGCAGACAAAGTCCATAAGCTTTTGGTCACATAGCTCCAGCAGGTGAATGGGCCCTGGGGCTGTGGTCTCCATATTGGCTTTGTCTGGGGAAAAGGCAGAGACAAGAGGCACAAGGACTTGAGTTTGGGGACCAGAAGAGTCTACCACACAGCCCTCACTCATAAGTCACCATAAAACACCAGACCCTTCCGAGTGCATCTCCTCCCCAATGCAGAACTCCAAATGCCAAGCCAATGGCCTCATTTCTAGGAAAAGAAGCTTCAAACCCCCTTCCCCTGATGCGCACACAGTTCCCACACACAGAGTATGGCTGTCCTTAGGAGTCCACACTTCCCAACTAATTTGGATTTGAACCTTACAAATGGCCTTTTGGGGGCTTAAGATACCTGGATATGGCCACCTACCTTCCTAGATCTGAGAGAAACTGCCATTACACCCTGTCCCTGCCCCAAACACAAGCCTATTCTTACTCTATGATAGGCTCTCCTCCTACTGTTTGTAAATGGGTAAGAAAGGAGTAAGACACCTATGCTGAATATGAGCTGATGCCAGCCACCAAGCAATGACATTGACTCCAGCTGTCTCTTTATAAGGTCAGTGACCAGAAAGGGGTTGTTTGTTCCAGTAAAGGTTCAGAGACATACTCCACAACTGAAATGACCTAAAAATGGGTTGGGGGAGCATGAGAGAAATATGTTGATAAACAATTCCTTGCTTTTAGGAAAACCTGTCTACAAATATCAGGCGGGGGGGGGGGAGGATGGACAACAAAACAACAACAAAAAAAGAACACAAATTTTTGTTTGTTTAAGGCAAGGACTCAAACTCATTATCTGATACTTTCGCTCATTCTCTGGTACTCTATCACCTGAGTCACACCTCTGACCCCCAAATTTCTCTTAAAAAAATTTTTTTGGTTGGTCATGGGGCTTGAACTCAGGGCTTCGACACTGTCCCTCAGCTCTTCAGCTCAAGGTGAGTTGCTCTACTGCTTGAGCCACACCACTTCCAGTTTTCTAGTGGTTTATTGGAGATAAGAGTCTCACAGACTTTCCTGCCCAGGTTGGCTTTGAACTGAGATCCTCAGATCTCAGCCTCCTGAGTAGCTAGGATTATAAGTGTGAGCCACCAGCACCCGGCTTTTTTAATTTTTTAAATGGTTAGGAGCTTGGGCATCCTCTTCTGCTTAGGAGCTTAGGATCTGATCATAAAATCACTGCCAAAGCCCCAAGCCAGGAGGAAGAGTGTAATAATCATAGTATGATGAATGAAAGTCTAAGTGACGTCTCAAGCCATCACGGAATGAATCCTTATGTCAGGCAGTGACCCACCATCCTGATTCAGACCATGAAAAGCAAAAGGAATCATGCCTAGCTCAGCATCCATGTAGGATGTAAGGATGCTAATTCTTTGATCCTTCTGGAGCTTAAGACCATATGTCAGATCGCAGCCTCAGGAGGCTTTTTTGGTCCTGATATTGGGGAACATTAGCCATTGTCCTTAAAACAAGCTCTGAGGGCTGGGAAGGTGGATCAGTGGTAGAGTGCCTGCCTTGCATGCATGAGGCCCTGGGTTCTATTCCTCAGCACCACATAAGCAAAAAAGCTGGAAGTGGCGCTGTGGCTCAAGTGGTAGAGTGCTAGCAATGAGTTGAAGAGCTGAAGAACAGCGCCCAGGCCCAGAGTTCAGGCCCCATGATCAGCAAAAAACAAACAAACAAAAAAACAAGCTCTGCCCTCCATCAGGAACATTTTGTTTCCAATTTTGTATGGCTTCCTCCTTCAGATCTCAGATCATCAGGGAGGAATGAACACCAATGTAAAGTATCACCCAGGCCACAATGGCAATCACTGGTTTTAATTCTCTGTACAGTACTTTTGAGTGACTTGTTCATTACTTGTCTGTCCACTTACTGTTTCCCAGGGCAAGCCCTTCATCTTGCTCATCAGCCAGAGCTTAGAGCTCAGCACAGTGCCTGGTACTCAAATGAATTAATCCATCCATCAACTAATGCCACATATTCTCCTTGCCGCACCTCCTACCACCAGCACCACTAACACCTCAGCACAGGTTAGGGCAGGCCAAAACACACCCAGAGGCCCAGCTCTTAGGTGCCAAGGGCAACACTAATTGAGAGAGAGTTTAGGCAAAGATCTCTGCTCTGCAGCCAAGGAATCAAGGGCATAGATTCTCCTCTGCCATCTCTCTTAATTCCTCTGCACCCAGATCACAGCCCTGGAAAAGTGCAAAACCCCAGTTCAAGGCCAGGAGGGGGAAAAAAACTGCTCAAGAAAACCAAAGATGCCAGGTGCCAGTGGCTCACGCCTGTAATCCTAGCTACCCAGGAGGCTAAGATCTGAGGATCACGGTTCAAAGCCAGCCCGGGCAGGAAAGTCTGTGAGACTCTTATCTCCAATAAACCACTAGAAAACTGGAAGTGGCATTGTGGCTCAAGAGGAAGAGCGCTCACCTTGAGCTGAGGAACTGAGGGACAGCACTCAAGCCCAGAATTCAAGCCCCACAACTGACAAAAAAAAAAAAAAAGAAAGAAAGAAAGAAAGAGCGAGCCAAAGATATGCAAAGGAGCTACAGAGAGCAACAATGGGTACCTATTTCAAACCTGCAAAATGCTTCTTTCACAAAATCCAAAAAAGCATTTCCCATGGATTTTAGTAGACCATGACTTAGCCATTTTAAAGAATGAAAAAAAAAAGTCACCGTTAGAACAGAGGTGACCCTGGAAAGAGTCAGAATTACAAAAATCAGTCTCCTGTGAACAGTAGCAAAATCCTTATCCTTAACTGGTTTAAGAACCTGTACACGAGAAGGTTGACATTGACTGAGATACCTTGTAGTCATAAATTGACAGGCTCGAATGAAAACCCTTTGTACAACTACTTAAAAGTGTAGGAAGTTTAGCACCTCCCTACCACACCTCCAAATAGAATGGTCTATTCTACCAGCCACTCCCTTTTATTGAATCCTCCTCCAAGCTAGATAAGGAAACTGAGGCCACGAGTTTAAATCCATCCCCCGGGAAATCGAGGGCGAAGCGTGGATTAAAACTGCACTCTAATCACTAGCTAGAGGAGACTCCAGGACTTCAGCTTCAGAAAGGTGGGCGTCAAGGCTTGGCTCTGGGCCACCCCCCAGGAGCAGCCCCCAGAGACGGGGTGGGGCTGTGTCAAAGTAACGGGCGGCGTGGGCCTCAGGAAACAGAAATGGACACTTTAAAAAGAGACCCCACAGGAGCAGGGGAGCTTGGACGAGGGGCTTCACGGTACGGAGAGGCCTCCGGGCACACTTGAGCCAAACAATCCGGTCCGTTTCCAACTTCCGGAGCTTAAGTAAGTCAACAGTCTCCCAGACACAGAACAAGATGTCAGGCACCGGGGAAGTCGCTCCTTCGGGCCTAGATGGGAAGTTGGGGCGTCACCTCAGGACCCTAGAACCAAGGCGGGTCACCTCGCCACCGGGACAGGCGGACCCCCTCCATTCCCGGGCCGGAAGCGGCGGGAGTGAGGGAATGGGTCACACCCCCGGCCTCGACCGGGCAGGGAAGGAGCCCAGAACCGAGGACGATCGAGCCGCTACCCACCCGTACCCCGCTGGCCGCCCGCGCGCACTCACTCGACTGCATCGCGTCTCCTAAGGACTGTTGCGACCCAACTCCACGACCTCCGGACCCCGAAGCCCAGCCTGCCCGGACCCCCTCGGCTGCGAGCCTTCAGGGCTCACTTCACCGGAGGAGCCACCGGGTGGTGCAGCGCGGGCGAAATCTACGATTTTCAAACCTGAAGGCTCAGCCAATGGTTGGCAAGTTTGTCAGGGCGGTTACAAAACTCCAAGCCAATAAAGTAGCAGAAAACATCAGTCAACCCACCCATTGGATTTCCAGATTGCCAATCTGCGGGACCAAGAGGCGGGGAAAGGAAGTTATAGACGCTTTAAGCCTCCTCAGCTTCCGGGAACGGTGCGACGATCACGGAGGACTCCTGCGTTGGCCCGGGACGCGCGGGACTCCAGGAACTACAAATCCCGGCGTGCAATGCGAAGGCCCGGCTCAGTGAAGTACTCTCGCACGACGTGAGACAAATGAGACGTGGGTTCTGAGGGGATGCGGACTCCCTTCGCCTGACTCTTCGCCCGTCTTGCGTCTGGCTTTCTCGAAACTTCGTTCCCGATAAAATGCGTGGTAAAACTGACCGCAGCTACTCAAAGAGGATAAGATCTGAGGACTGTGGTTTGAAGCCAGGCCAGCCAGGAAAGCCCGTGAGACTCTTATTTCCTGTTAGCCACCCATCAGCCAGAAGTGGAGCTGTGGCTCAAGTGGTAGAGCGCCAGCCTTGGGAACAGAGACAGCGACCAGGCCCTGAGTTCAAAACCACCTTGTAAATAGCACCAGTTTGCACTTACAGAGTAAATAGCACCAGTTTGCACTTACAGAGTAAATAGCACCAGTTTGCACTTACAGAGCCGCGTTTTTCTGACAGCCTTGGCTCTCAACACAGGGCGAGTTTACGAGCCCAGCCTCTCTCCAAACACACAACAGAGCTGACCATGTAGGGACCAGTTTTCATTTGAGGGCTGGAAATGGAACTGAGATCCCAAAGGTAAAGACCGGCTGTGTTGCCAAGCACCAGTGGCCCACGCCTGTAATCCTAGCTACTCAGGAGGCTGAGAAGTGAGGCTCCCAGTTCAAAGCCAGCCCAGGCAAGAAAGTTTATGAGACTTTAATCTCCAATTAATCACCCACAGTCAGAAGTGGAGCTGGTCCAAGTGGTAGAGCACTAGACGAGTACAAAGAGGCTCAGGGACAGCACCCAGGCTCTGAGTTCAAGCCCCAAAACCAACAACAACAAAAGAACATATCGGAAGATAATGATTTGCTGATAGGTGGCTCAGCCTGTAATCCTAGCTACTCAGGAGGCTGAGACGTGAGGATCCCGGTTCAAAGCCAGTTTGAGCAGAAAGTCCAAAGTGAGACTATTTCCAATTAACCACCAGAAAACAGGAAGTGGCACTGTAGATCAAAGTGGTAGAACACCAGCATTGACCAGAAGAGCCCAAGGACCATGCCCAGGCCCCAAGTTCAAGCCTCACAACCAACAATAAATAAATAAATGAAAATTCTTTGCTTTCAGCAAGGTAGAAGCACACTGGCAATAATTACCAATGCTGTCTCTCTCTGAACAAAGAAATCAAGGAGTTTTCATTGGGGAAGGTCATACATATTCATGTAGGAAAGGCGGCATCACAAGCTGAATTGGGCACATTCCTGAGCATGCTCAGTTCAGGATCTTGCTTTTTTCATACATCAAATGTTTTTGATTATGTGTGCCAATACTGGTATTTAAACTTAAGGCCTGGGTGTTGTCCCTTAGCTTTTTCATTTAAGTCTGGTGCTCTACCACTTGAGCCATCGCTCTAGCTGTTTTTTGCTGATTAATTGGAGATAGTCTCCTGAGCTGTCAGGGATGGCTTGGAACCTCTATCCCCAGATCTCAGCCTCCTAAGTAGCTAGGATTACAGATGTGAGCCACCTTGGAGGCATGCATGAGGCTTGGTTCCAGTTCTAGCTATCAGTCTTGGCAACTATTTATCCATTGGGCATCAGATAACATACAGATAAAACCTTATGGCTTGTAAGAACACAATGCATAGGGAAGTGCCCAGAACAAGGTCTACATTGGGGATGCAGGAAATACTGCCTTGGACATAAAGTGGAATTACACTCTGAACAGCTGGGAATTGCTGCTGGTCAGCAACATTCAGGAGAGATCCAGTCTATAGGGCTGGGTGGATAGAACAACGTTTCCCTCTGAGTCAGGTGCCTTCCTTCTATGTCTATGACCTCCAGTTTGTTTTGACACCCTGGCCGCCTTGATACCCGTTTGGAAAATGAAACTGTAGCAGTGCCATATTAGACCTGAGAGCGAACAGAGTCCAAGAAAAGTGTGCTTATTGTTCTCAGGTGAAAAGAGACGGAGCAATTACATCAGAATCAGAATAAATCAAAGCCACAGGAATTTATAGCCATATGATCCAGCCTTACTGCCTTTAAATTTTTTTTATTGTGGTCAAAAACAAAAGGGATAGCTGAGTAACAGTGGTCTGTAATCCTAGATACTCAGGAGGCCGATCTGAGGATCAAGGTTTGAAGACAGTGCACAGGACTCTCACCTCCAATTAACCAGCTAAAAGTCAAAAGTGGAGCTGTGAGATAACGCATATTTAGCTTTTTCTATTCAGGTGATGACTCATGAACTTTTTTTGCCTAGATTGGCTTGGAACCATGAGCCTCCTGAACTCTGCCTCCCAAGTAGCTAGGATTATAGGTGAAGGCACCAGCACATAGCAACCCAGCCCATTTAAAGAAGGAAAAATAATAATAATTGATACAGAAGATGCTTAAAATACAGGTTTATGGGGTTGGGGTATTGCTCACCTGCCTAGGATGAGGGCCTAAATTCTAATCCCTGAGCCATAAAACAGTCCAAATGGCCAGTGGTTCACTCCTGTAATCCTAGCTACTCAGGAGGCTGAGGTCTGAGGATCACAGTTCAAAGCCAGCCCAACCAGTAAAGTCCATGAGACTCTTATCTCCAATAAACCACTAAAAAACTGGAAGTGGTACTGTAGCTCAAGTGACAGGGAATTCGCCTTGAGCTGAAGAGCTCAGGGACAGTGCCCAGACTCAAGAGTTCAAGCCCCACAACTGACAACAACAACAACAAAAAAACCCAAGCTTATCAGTAACTGTGTTTAGATGGTATTTAACAGTGCTTAACTCTTGTCCCAAGGTCCCAGGGAAATGTAGGTCCCTACCATTGGTCTCACACAGCCAGGCTTCAGCTCCCTGCACGGTCAACCACAACAAATAAGGTGTCCCCCTTCTTTCAGAAATTACATTCTTTCTCTTTGAATGATTCAATGAAAAACATGAGTTGCCTGGGGTGTTTTCATTTTGTCCAGTTTTACTTTTATTTATGACCAGAGTGCTAATTCTGTGTCTGTTTCTCTATGGTAGCTGATAGCACAGGTACCCCCAGGCTGTGTTTTATTGAGGGCCCGAGGAAGGCCTCAAAGATTCAGGCCTGTTTATTACCATCTAATATCAGTGACTAGGAGAGGAGACTTACTTATGCTAAAACACATGTAAAAAGAAGATGTATAGAAGGATGTTTACATGTCAGTAGCTTGTCGTAAAGAATAAAACTCAAATGTCAGGCAAACACCAGTGGCTTATACCTGTGATCCTAGCTACTCCAGGAGGCTTAGATCTGAGGATGATAGTTCAAAGCCAGTTGGGGCAGGAAAACCCATGAGACTTTTATCTCCAATTAACTAGCAAAAGCCAGAAGTGAAGCTGTGGGCTTTGGTGGCAGGATTCAAGCCTTAATCAAAACAGCTAAGAGCTAGCACCCAGGTCCTGAGTTCAAGCTTCACTACTGGCACACACACAAACACAGAACTCAAAAAACCCTTATGTAAAATCCACACTGTCTCCTTCCTAACCCTGGGCAGTGAAATCATAATCAGGCTCATTATTGAGGATTTATTATGAATCATGTGGATAGGCTGAGATAGTTTGGATGTAATCTAGTGCCTTCTCTAAAGCACAATGGAAACCACATATAATCTTGAGGTTGGCTATATTCATGGAATCAGCACGTACGTTAATGGCTTGCAGATGCATACAGTTTATGACAGGGAGAGTCTTGCCAGTGAGATCAGACACATATGAAATTCATAGCTCTGAGCCACCCTTCCCTTTGGAACATGAAATACTTCAAGTTAGTGGCCTGTACATTTCCTGGATAGGAAATGCCAGCATGAGCCTCTGCCCTTCCTTTTGCTTTGTTCAGGTGTAGATCTCTGCTCCAATCCTTTATTAGTGATCTCAGAGTTTCCCTGCCAGATGGCAATCCCATTTTCTACCTCCCTTACTTCCAGGTATGCAAGGAATGCTGACCTGTGGTGGCAAGTGCTGAAAGGAATCAGGCACATTCACTTTCTGCTGCATCCCAGACGAATTTCTTTTACAGAGACGCGGGCTCTGAGATATCCTACTTTCCTTGGATAGCTTGACTCTTGAATGTCCCCTAAAGGCCCCAATTGTGTGTTTGTACGCACCAGTACCGGGACTTGAACTCAGGGCCTGGTTACTGTTTCTGAACTTTTTTGGCTCAAAGCTGGTGCTCTTTTACTTGAGCCACAGCTCCACTTCTGGCTTTTTAGTGGTTCATTGGAAATAAGAGTCTCACAGACTTAACTGGCCTGGCTTTGAGTCTCAAGCCTCAGGACTCAGTCTCCAGAGTAGCTGGGATTACAGGGGTGAGCCACCAGTGCTCCGCTCAAAAGTAAACCTTTTGTCTTCATAAGTTGGTTTCCTCTAGTCATTCGTTATAACAACAAAAAGTTAACTAACGCAAGTACAGCAGTCTTTTGCCCTGGCACAAGGAGACATTGTACCAGGAATTCATATATAAGGTGAGTCACTGAAGGGTCATCCTTCCATCTAATGATTATGAGACTGCATCAATCAAATAACAACTTGGCTTTGAAAGATATGAGAAAATAGTTTATTCTAAAGCAGCATAGGCTTGAGAATGGACCAAGATTGGGGGGGGGGGACGAGGAACAGTTTATTTTGAGCTAAATATGAGGAACATGCATTCAATTTACCCTGAATGGCACATTTCACCAAATAAGAGGTTATATGAACTTTTTAAAATCATG